TATTTGTTTTAATAAGTATGTTTAAATATATATGAACATAGAATATTGAAATGTTGATCATTTTACAGTCAAATATCCGGGTTTGGTTTTTTTCATCCTTGTTTCATGATTTTGGCGCTGATGGCTGCTTGATTGTTCATTTCATTCACCTGTGCAGCTCTGCCCTGTTCCTCATCAGATCCACCTGTTTTAAGCTTCCTGTTTCCCAGCCATCTGTGCCAGATTATTAATGAGCCTTTAGTGTTGAGCGTTTTCCAGCGTTGCTATTGTGTTCTGATTGTATGACCCTGATCTGTTTCTGTATTTGGACCTTTAAGCCTGCCTGCCCTGTCCGATCTGTTTGCCTGACCCGTCTTTGGACTCCGTTTGGATTCCTCTGTGGACTGAACCTAGATCTGCCTCTTTACTTCACGCTGTGGATCATCCTGTCATCCTTCGGCAGCTGTGAAATTATCTCCTGTCAGCTCTGCAGCCTAAAGCGTCTAGAACTCTGGCACCGTCCGCTGCGCTTGTCTGGAATCATCCTCGCTCTCTGGGCATGGGCTGAACTGTCAAACCAGGTTAGTGACCCGCGCATTCATAATGATCCTCCATCTGATTATCATGGTGACTAACCTGTGTTTCTCTCCAATAGATGTTCCTGCTTTAGACGGCCTAGCCACAGCCACTGATACCACAGATCCACAGCCCGCTCTGTTCTTATTTAATAAACGCTGTTTAAGTCTTCAACTGTTTGTCTCGCCTGAATTCTTGGTCCGACGTTCTGAGCTTATTACACCCTGCCTCTATAGTAATTAAGTATTTGCAAGGATTACTTTGATCAATGTGATTCAAGGTGGTTCATTTACTTTCCGCTTTAGTAGCAGTGAGTGCAGAGATGGAGCCGATCAGGCCGAGTGGAGTTTTCAGAGTTGAGCTGTCGGCAGACCGGTTGGGAGCGAGGAGGTGTGAGTTTAAACTAGTGTTACGCCGATGATACCTGGCTGTGCAGAATCGGCCGATACCATCTGTTTGAAACTGATGTGTGTGTTTATATGAAGAACTGCAGACTACCGGGATGTAAAATAATCACCATCATGGCTTCATGTCAAGCTGCTGCCTTCCTCAGTGAAGCAGGAAAAAGACTAAAACAAAGAGAATCAAGTAGAACTTTTTATTGCCTACCAGGAATGGGCGACAATAGTTGAAGAAACTTTCGGATCTCAAAATGGTATCTGTGCCCTATTAGTCGGTACTCACCGATACCGATACCACCATTATAGTGCTGGATCGGGGCCCCGCCCGATACTGGTACCAGTACGATGCAACACTAGTTTAAACATCTATCTCCATACGCACTCAGACTAATAACTGCACCATCAAGACGGTGGAACATTAGTGAAACCAGAGAGTCTGTGGGATCCCACCTTTTCCATACCTGCCATATTCAATTCTAAGGAGCTCCTGTCCTTCCAAGCTCAGATCAGACCAGAATGAGATGCAGATCTAGTGTTTCCAGAATGCACCTTCCTTTTCTTTTATGTCCACTGGGATGTTTAGATGTTTGTGAACCTCCTTCTTGGGGCTCCGCCCTCTGACTACAATCTTAAAATGATTTATCCCTTTGAATAAATCACAGTCACCTATCTCTGCACCGTCTGAGTTCATTATGCATAACATGAATAACAATAATTATTTGCTGTAAAATGTTCCCTCCGTCCTTCAGAGAAACATCTCAGCAGCTTCAACAGAAACTGACCTTCTGCAACGACGAGTCTGAACTCCTGGTAGATCATGGCGGATGAAGAGTCGCCCAAACCACATCTGTACAGTCCTGAGTCAGACTGCTTTAGTTTGGAGATCTTCACATAGAAAACATAAACGTCTGATAAAAACTCTTTAAGGTATTCAATGCTGTATCGTTCTCTTTGAGCTTTGTTCTCTCTGGTTTGGATCAGAATGTTTCCGCTTTCACAGTTTTCCCTGCAGAAGATCTTCCAGGATCCAGAGAACGACATGCCACATGC